TCATGTTCAGGTTTGCCACTCCTTTGTGTAGTTTCTCCCAGTTTAGTTCGTCCTTAGTTCTGTTTGCCATCTCCACTTTATGTTCAGTATTGTCAATAAATCACCCTTCACGTCTGAATAAGTGCTGCATTTGAGTCCTCCTTCCACTCTTCACACGGCCGCTGCCCCGAACCGTGACAGAATGAACCAGCATTGCAGCCATGGGTCATTGTGAGCATCACAGGGAAGGTTGAAGCCGCACACTGCACCTGTATGGCTGGAGTCGCGGAGACCTGCAGCCATGTCGCTGCTCTTCTGTTTAAAGCAGAAGCAACAGTGTTGATCGTGGTACAAGGACTGTTACAGATGAACCTGTATACTGGGTTTTGCTGTGTAATATGACCAAGATACAGTCAGAGGTTGGCCATAAGATAGACTTCTCCTCTTCAGCTGCCCAAAAAAAGGCTCTTGATCAAAACGTAAACGGACCATCCGTATTGAAAGGAGCTGTCCTCAAAATAGAAAAATCCCACTTGCTACTGTGGAGGAGTTGTCACCGCTATTGGATACTTCACTGGAACACAGTAAAGTGGGTCGTGGGAATGACCCATAATGATTTATCTAGGGGTCTAGATTTATGCCTGTAGTGCACTGCCATGTAATTTGCTGAATATGTACTGACTGAGTACCACTGTTCAAAAGTTGAATAAAGAAACAAACAAATTTTTGCCTCTTTTTTTCCTTTAATTAAAACCACTTTGTAGAACATCACATCAGAAACCGGAGGCAGGAGCAGAGACCCGAAGCGGCCGCCGGTCCGAGTGTCAGGTGAACTGAACTTCAGGTAAGAAGTTATGACCTGCAGTCTATCTGGGTCAGATATAAACCAAGTTTAGGTGGAGTTTATTTTCGTTATGCTGACTTTTTCATACTGGGTACTAGCTAGCATGACGGCGTTTCTATACAGCTGGGTGGGTGCTATGTTACTGATGTTGAACTTTATTTTGTTCATAAGGTTAATTATTAGAGTTGACAACCGTCCCCTAAAAAACAGAATAGTCTCATATTCAGAGAAAATATTACGTGTTTCGTATTGAGGTGAAAAGGAACAGTTTGTCCCGGACTTCAGCTACAATGAAAAAGACACAAAGCTGGAGTTATTCTGTGTCTATGCTGCACAGCTGCCTCTTCGTCTCTATTTCTCTCACCCTCCCTCTCCTGTTTCTTACTTCAATCATGAAACTGATCAATGATCAGCTGATCAGCTTTTCTCTTTTGTTTGTTTATCGCCCACTTTGCGCCAGAAAGAAGAAACCAGCGGATGTCGCGTTAAACAAGACCAGCACTTTTAAGCTTGATCAGCTGCTGTTAGAATTTATTTAATATTCATTTCTAGCATCAGCTGATGTTTGCTGGAGCCACAGCTGTAAAGCTGCTGGTCATGATATCAGTTTGGATATGTGGTGAGAGAGAAACATGAAGATGAAACCAGGAGATGTCCTTACTGAATCATCAGAGCTGAGCAGGTGATGGAGAAACAGGTTTACCTTTTAGGTGACATGAATGAGTTGAAGGGAAGTTATGAACTGTTTCTGAGAGACAAATAACACCTTTTTTTTTACGTAGCTGACAGCTGGTAACTGTGCAGGGGCGGGTCTAGCAAAGTTTTGCCAATGGGGCCAGGTAGGGCATTAACAGGGAGAGGGGGGCACAAAGAAATACTTTTCTTTCTTATTGTCATTTAAAATGTCTAGCTTTTAAAAAATAATTATCTGAATCTTACAACAAAAAGCGCACATGACGCTGTGACGTAGGCTAGAATCATGGCGGTGAACAACGATGGTCCAGAAGTGGGATTTCTCTCGTGGAAATATGCACATTATTTTTTCCCTTCTATTGGTAGGTGGCACAGTGCACTTGTGGCAACTAAGCAAGCTAGAAGACTGGCAGTCTTGCTGGGTATCCAATTACGGAAGTGTGACCAAGTGGTCGGCGGGGTTATAAAAGAAATAGTAATAAAATGACAACGCCACCTAGGGGAATTTCACCCCCAGGAAATATATATTTAAGAATAGATAAAAGGAATAAAAAGAGGCCGCACAGATTCAAGGATGCACACCGAGGCAGGTTGGCTCCACTATTAAGATAGTTTTATTTATCGTTAAAATAAATAAAATATTAGAAAGCAAAATGTAGCGTCGTTGTTGACAGTGTCCTAAAGTGAAAATAAAACAATCGTGGAACTTGTACTTACCAGCAGCCGTGGACCCAAAAGAAAATCACACAAAAAGAAAATCACTACAGCCCACCCTGTGCTGTACAAAAGAAAGTGTGAAAACGACCCACCACCTGAGGTCCCAGGGCTACTGGCACATCCTCCGTTCACTGAAATAAAACACAGAGAAATACGTTAAAAGAATAAAAGGACACTGAGCATCAGGCTGGCTACAGATCATAAAAAAACTAAAACCAACTTTAATAAAAGAAGTCACACACGCGCGCACACACACCACACTGGAAGGCTTACGCCCCACAAGTCAACTACAACTCGTGCTGGTGGTAATTGTCCAGGCCTCGATCAGAAGCCGGTCTGGCTCCCCACAGGCTGAGATCGGCAACTGAGGCAGTTTAAGGTTCCCAGCGTGACACTCGGGCAGAGGATCGCTCCAGCCCGGTCACAGATGTGGGTACAAGCAACAATCCAGAATAAAATAAAATAAAACCAGGCGAACCAGAAAAAGGTAAGCCTGCTTAATAAAAACAGTTTCACGACAAGACAAGACAAGACAGCAGGCTCCACCGAGGAGGAGCCCTCACAACAGCGGCTGGGAAGGCATTTTGCTCTTCCAATTAAGGTCGGGCAGTTTGCCACGGAGATGTGAAGGCAGCAATCAAACCCTAAAACCACATAAATAAAACCTTAGCCTCCGGTAATTGTGAATGCTAATAAAAGTAGTTATCACTACCGGAGGCGCTATACTCTCAGCATTGACTGCTGCTTTTTGCCAAACGGACCAGGAGAACACCGGCTTAACTTTATATGGACTGGCGCCACCCTGCAATCAATATGCAGGTGGGCTCCCAATTAACCTAGTTGCGCAGCCGAGAGAACAAGCGCAGGAGAGAGCGAGAGCAGTAGAGCGAGCGAGGGAGAGAGAGAGAGAAAATGAAAGGCAAGTAACCCATCCGGCTACAGAAGCAACACATTAATAAGAGAATTCTGAGTAAAACCAAAGTTACTTTCCTTAGTAACTAGTTACTCTGAAGGTAACGAGTAACTTGAAGTAACTGAGTTACTTTTGATAGAAGTAACTAGTAATGTAACTAAGTTACTAATTTAAAGTAACTTACCCACCACTGCCCACTGCTAACATTACTTTAATTACTGTATCTTTTGAAAAATACCGCTATTTATACAGCACAAGACTTAAGAATATTTAACAGGAGCAAGTTTCATTTTTCCCTGGTTTTACTACCACACCAAACGCAGCAAAACCTTCACCATCTTATCCAGAAGGGTCACCTCTTCACCCTCACATGGAAGAAGTAATCTGATTGGCATGATGGTATGTTTGAAGCAGGTCCCTTGTGTAGCGCTGGAACCCAGTCATGATGTTTCATCCATTTCATAGGCTGGTTTGCTGCAATAATGCCAAATAATTAGCAACTCTATAAATAGAAGGTAGTTCTACAAAATCACTGAGTAGGATGTTTGTTCTAATTTGCTATGACCTCAGAGCGCATTGAAAATAAAACTAATAGGCTATAAAGAGTGATATGAACATATTTAGAACTTACTGGAATGAAAATGTCTGGAGCACCAACAGATATTTGGAGATGGAAGAAAACTGGATATCAGCTCATCTCACAGCTGCTATCCAGGCTAGATGCCTTCCTTTGGTAACATCTGATACACGAGCTGCCTCATGTTGCTTCCAGGTTGGGAAAGAATGAAAAGATAAACCATTTTGAAGCTTATTCTCTTGCCGGTCGTGCGATCGAACATTGCAGCCGACCACACAGCAAATACGAACCATGGCTGTTGTGTGTGCCTTCGCTCCTTTTTTGCTTGCGCTTTGTTTGGACACGGAAAATGGCGCATCAGGCAAAAATCCTTTCCACGCCCACCCCCGTGACATCACGCTCCAAGACTGACAGACCACGTGACTTCCGCGCATTGCATTGTAGGTACGAGTGGCAACAAAATCAAAACACTGCATTAAGCGCTAGCATTTCCAGCACCGGTAATCATTAATTCTGCGGTTTTAATCCCTACTTGCAATTTATTTGGCCCAAAAACAGTGATGTACAAAACGAGGGAAAACATGGCAGGTCTGTAAAAAGACAGAGTTGACGAAAAGGCAAAAAAATAGTACGAGGAAAAAATCAAAGGAGTGAAAGGGTTAGACCCATACGAGCATACATAGTAGAGTAAGGTTGTTAGCGTGCTGCCCGACTTTCCTCACGTACATATTTATTATTATATGGTCCTAAGTGTGAGTGCACTCACAAAATGTTTAGTAACTTCAGACCCCTGCAAAGAGCCCAGGTCCAGTTTACTTTGGTGATTTGAACAATTCCATTTCACAGCTGTTGTTAATTTTTTTTTCTTTATCTCCTGTACAGGCCAACACAATCTATTTGTCATTTCAGGTTGTAGTATTACACAACATTTTCAGATCTAATAGAAATAAAATAAGTGTTTCATAATTCACTCAATTTATTGTCTTTATTTATAACTGGCATTATTGTTTCATTCTGTTATAGAATCTTACAAGAAAGAGGCAAAATTGTATTCCATTGTGCTTTATTAGCTGCTTCGGTGAAAAACAAATCAACAATGCAAAAAAACCCCAAAAACATATCAAAACAACATACTCATCACTTGATTGCTCCAATACAACATTTGGGCACATATATGCGGGACTTTTCGTGGCTGTTTTGATAACTCTCTCTCTCTTAACCGATCAAATCCCGCTTTGGTAGCAGCTTTACACTCAGTATGACCCAGGTTGATAGAGGGTGCCCAGTCTGGATCGCATTCCAGCATTTTATTAGACTCGTTTTCCTACAAAACACAACAAACATTAGCCTGCAAAGCCACAGCAAACAAAGCAGCATAACACAACGAATTCAATTCAAATCATTATAAGACTTTTTTGTAACCTACATCAACAATTATGTTATTTATGTGATAAATCATGTAATAACTACAACAGAAGACTTACCTTTATGGAAATGCTTGGAGCAGACTAACATGTGAGCTGAAGTGTTTTGGAACATTATATTTGGTCTTCGAATGGCTGCAATCCAGG